GGGGGGGTCATGACCCCCCCTGGTTCCGCCCTTGAGGGTGGCTAGTTGAGTCAATGACGTCTGCTTAAAATGTGATAACAAAATAAGTGCAAGTGTTTGGCGCTTTGAGGTGCAATTAAAATCGGAGAAAATCACGAATCGTAATAGAAAATATCATCTTTTTGTGGAAGTCTTTCACAAAGTTCTAGTCTTTTATCCAATTCTATTCTTCTGGATGTAGAACAATCCAAATTTTGAATCACGCTGTATAAACTGCGTCCAAGAAAAGAAGGGCGTCTAAAGCCCGTGTCCCATGCATCCGTTGGTACGATTATACGAAAGTGTTCCTATTGGTTTGAGATCTGTCAATTCGTCCGCCCTCATACAAACTGACAGATCTCCAACCAATAGAAACACTTTCACACATGGGCTTGAGACGCGAAGTGTTATAACACATTGACGCACAGAGCGGCATCAACACACAACACAGTGTTACTTACTGGTACATGCAGAAAAAATCTCCACCTACCTGCCGAATACACCAATCCGGAAAATGTGCCATTGAACCCAACTCGAATTTTCATATAGTCGTCTTGGCATTCTGCTTCAATGTCTGCGAATAAAACAAATTGATTATTTATTAGGCCCACAGCTACGAAGCCATGAATCGTTGCTAGTCTCGTAAATCGGCTTGCTGTCACGCTCATAATTTCCAAGCGATTTCCTCATCAAGCAAAATTCGAAATTGGCGAAATCCGAAATCAATAAGGCACAAATGATTGCGAAGAACAATGAAAATCGATGGCATTGAAGAATGGGGAATTATTCATAAGCCATTAGTCAATCTGGAGCAAAATCGTGACTACTATTGTTGGTAAATAGTAACAATAAAACATTTGAGGGTAATTATTAGCGTAACTGACTCGTTCAACAGTCACTTTTCTTACGACTTTCAAGTGCTGTTGATCATAATTAGTGGCCTAAAGTGAAATTAGTTTTTTTTATAAATATAAACTAGCGCTAACTAGTTCAGCATCCGCGAGCTGACGCAATAACTGAAAGATAGATAGTGTTTTTTTCTAAATAACGCCAATTTATTAAGCAGCCAATTGTCACGGACATTATTGCGGTATAACATTGTCCTGCATAGTTTAGCATATTTACCGATTTGCGGCAAATCGGTACACAGAAAACTGTAACAGTTTTGTGCTTTTTGCGGTTCGATTAAAAATTCAATCGGAATATAACTGGATCTAATTATCGCTGAGACCGGACGGCACAATTTAGGTGCACTTGATTAATGAATATCCGAAAGAAGGCTCCAGTCATCAGTGTCAATGAACGTCATTTTAATGTCAGCTCAACCCCATATGAGCTAATAATTAGCGCAAATTCGCGTGCCGCAAGAAACTGGGTCAGTGTATGAGCTTATCTGGCGCGCGATCTGGTTGCGGTCACTTTTCAGCCCACCAGCTTGGAACTGCTTCGATTCAGTTACATAAGGAAAAAAACGGAAGCGCCCCATTGCTCACATATTCTCGTTATAGCTGTAGGGGCAGTTACAACAACAACAACAAAAAGACGATTTCGATGAACAAAATCGGGTTTTCAGGCTACTGATTGGAATGCGACTATTTGGCATAATCTTTCATCGGACTGCTGCGACCTTGCGTTATGCAAGAACGGACACATTTTGCTCATTTTCTGTCCTCAATTCCGCAATTTCAAATTTATCGCCCACTTACGTTGCACTTTTGTGTTGTTGAAGCGCACTCTGCGATATTCACGATCCCACGTATCCAACGGGTTCTGCCAGTCACTGTCCTCCTCACTAGGGGGCGTTGCTCTCGTTCGCAACGCCGGTATTGGCACATAGTTGGGGTTTTCCCCGATAAACACCACCTGAAAATCAACATTGTCAATACTAAGAGAAATTCATTCCTGGGTTTCAGTCATTTATTGTCTCTATTTATTAATCAAAATACGTTTCGGTGTATTTTTCCACCATCATCAGTTTTTCTAAAATAACAGAGAGTTAAAAAAAATTTCATTGATTTAAAAAACAACCACAGTTCGTCAACAGCCTCATCATATCACACATTAAAATACATCACAATTGCAATACTTTAAAACATTCTAAAATTAATTAGGCCTATCAGGTGATTAGTCAGGACAATCAAATTTGGGAAGAGACTAGAGTTCTTCGTTCAGATACTTACATATTTTTACTTACATGTGTAGCGTTATTGCTGCTTTAAGCCTTGGCATGCATTTGGAGTATTCATTTTGTCCATTATCGGACACAAAACGAATAAAATACTGTTTATATTGATTTCTTTTACTTTCAGCTATTTTTCTTTGCATTCTG